TTAAAATATTTGTAAGTAGAAAACTTACTTGAACTACTTACTATTTTTGCCTATTTTTGCTGTAATTAATTCTCAATTTTTAACCATTTATAGATTTGAGTTTGTTTATCCCGATAACACCATAATACAACATGGAAATATATCCGAGAGTTCGTAGAAATTGTACGTAATTAATATTTGTTTAATGAAGCTTTTATCTGGACTACAAGATGATTTGATATATAAACCGTAAGTGCTATTTTAGTTATTGTCTTTATGTAGCATAAATTAATAATATTGACTTTCTTTCTTATATAAGGGGAGAGATAGCATTATCATCAATCGAATCTTATCGTAAAAGGAAAAAGGAAAGTGATTACGAACAAAAATCGGACGGTGTTTTCTTGATGTGTTTGAAAAATCATTATATTGAAATTGGTCACGTTGAAATTAGTGGTGGTTATGGTTGTATAGATAAACCACGATCCACCTGGGATCATCTTAAAGGTGCAGTCGGAAATATTTATATGTTAGGAGACCTTTCATACTGTTACAAAAAGGCTTCCTACAGGACTTTTTCAAAGATTCAAGTGTCTTTCTTGCATGGACTTGGTAAATTACCTTTTAATTAAATACTTTATTGTGTCATTTCTTGATATTTAATTGTTTACACAATCTATAGACAATCATTTGGAACTTTGGAGAATGTCTAACCCCGCATCTGGTGTCTTAATATTCGAAAGAACTCATAAAGTCGTTGTTCCCATCGATTGGGATAATCAACAAATATATTTTTTTAATTTTATTAAATTATTATGGGATTTAAAGGTAATCACCTTTGTTGTTTCATTTGATTCAGTCACATTCATATAAGTATTGTTTGTTAATGGATTTTATCTGCATAGCTCTGCTTGTTAGATACAATCGAATCAATCAAAAAATTACATGAAGAAAACCTCGCCAATATGTTCGAAGAAAATTATAGACCTCTCCATGGGAGACTTCCGATGCATTCGCTCACCCCATGCAAAGAACAACATCGTGCAGGCATTAATGCGATTTGTGTCGAGAGCGAAGACGAAAGTCTCTCTTCCCAAAATATACGATTAAATTTTAATAATACTAATTCGAGAACTTGATAGATGGAAATTTCAAAAAATATTGCTAACACAATTAATAATTTATGATTACATTTTAATAATAGATAGATGGAAAAATTTCAAAAAATATTGCAGATTTCAATCAATGTATACAATCTTTATGTGATAACACATTAATAATTATTTATATTATTATAGCAATAGATACTGGATTTAAATCAACCTTTGTTATAAAGAGTTCCAAATAAAATATTTTTATATGCTTCTTTTAATAAAACTCGTGACAATTTAAAAGTTATTAGTTTCTGTTTTTACTAAATTCAATTCGTCTTGTTTTTTTTTCCAGTTTTTTGCTATTTCCTCTAAACTTTAATAATAAATAACCCCCATAAAATAATACTCATATGAAAGCACAAAATATCTACATCTTTTCATCCACTTTTCAAGGCACTCAACATAAAGCTGAAAAATAATCTCAGCTCTGAAGCAAAAAGTGACACTGTTTTCAAATAGGGTTAACTTTACATAGAGAACGCCTATCAATATGAAAAAACATTCTTTAGAAAGCCTTAAAGATGTAGATTTTCTTTGTATTAATCATCATTTTTGAATCTGTTATAAAAGGGAAAGAATTATTACACATTTAAAAAAATGTTCAAAATTCAAAGCTATGCATCCTGGAGTGTATGATCAATTTTTGGATCAGATAGTTCAAACAGTGGAATCTCTGAGCGAAGTAATTCTAAGAAAATTTGTCACAAAACATTAAATCTTTTTTTTTTTTGATCAATGGAATGATTTATTTATTATTGGATCAAACACATCCTGCATTAGACAACACAGCAAAGTGGGAAATAAGAGATATTTTTGTTGATGGTCTGGAAGTTCCATTTTTTCATTTAAAATTGCATTAAGAACTTACATATATTTTAATGTTGAATAAAACTTATTTGGGTAAAAATGTTCACGTGATTTGTACATTTATTTTTGGCCATTTTGGTCAAAAATAGGCCAATGGCCAAATACCAACACTGATTACAGGATACGGCAAACAACTATACAAATGACTAAATCTTGATCCCTGAAATTCTTGGTAACATCAATGTTCACTTTGTCTGGTTTTGTTGCAGCATGCCCCATATCATATACATGAAAAAGATTTAATCCATTCTGACTTACATAGTGGTAATATACTTGTACAAGGAGGTAATTGTTACATTACAGATTTAGGATTATGTGGACCGGTTGATGAAAAGTCATCAAGTAAAGTTTATGGAATTGTATCATATGTTGCACCTGAGCTACTTAGAGGCAAAAAGAACACAAAAGAATCTGATATCTATAGTGTTGGGATGTTAATGTGGGAAATATTTGCAGGTCGTCCACCATTTGATGATAGAGCTCATGATCATTGTTTAATTTTTGATGTATGTGAAGAAGGTTTACGACCACCAATATTGCCAGGAATGCCTAATGATTATGTACAAATGATGCAGATGTGTTGGGATGTGGACCCATCAAAAAGACCAACTAGTAGAGAGCTGAGTAACTTTGCTTATAATAAACATATGGAAGTTCGTGGTAGTGATTGTAACAACAGCGGTGGTGGTGTTGGTGTTAGTGATTTGCAACAAATACACATATCACATCCAGATGCATACCATACAAGTAGAATATTAGATGAGGAGATTTCTAGATCAAAAAGCTTTAAAAGTTATACAATTAATGACAGTTCATTAAATAATTTTGATTTTAGCTTTCTTGAATAAAAATTCCATTATTAATTAATTGGGAATTACTATTACTAAAAATTTGATTGATTAATAAATACTAGATTCTAGTAATTAAAAGAAAGTGACTAATTTAATCTTCACTATAAATTTATTTGTTATAATTATTTTATTTTATTTTTATTTCTATTCTAAATTATAATAATATTTCTTATAATAAATTTTTACAGTTTTCTTAAATGGTGATATTGCAAGGTAGTCTTTTGGTTAATACTCATTATGGCTTAACTTTTGGACTACTTTTGTATTCAAATTAGCCAATCAGAATTTCATATCCAAACGCTCCAATCAAAATTTTAATTATAGATTTCAATTTCATATATGTATTTGTATAACTTGTATATTATTATTATTGGCCCAATTTTTATTTCACTTCGGTTTATAAAAATTCGGATTAACGGGGCAATTTTACATATAAATGGCTTCAAAAAATTTAAAAATTTTTCGGTTTACAGTTTATAAAGTTTAACGGGGTAATTTACATATGTTTGGCTTTGGTGTTTTAAAAACTATTCATTTTAACGGGGTTACCTGTGTACCTCATTAACACCCACTAATTAACCAGCGTTAGTCCTAACCTTTGCTTATTCATTAAAGTAAATTACGTTACTAATTGTTGTTACACTCACTAGTTAACCAATTTTAGTCCTAACCTTGCTTACCCACCAAAGCAAATAAAACGCAAAGCTCCATAATTGTCACCTTTTGCCAAGTAATTAAACTTGTTGCTTTTATCAAAGCGCTTTAAACAAAGAAAATAAAATCAACATTTTTATTTTTATTTTACTTTAAAAGCTTGTTAACGTTTAATAAAAATAATGATTCTATCATAGAATTATACATTATTAGAATGTCAATTATCCTCTGCGAGGACCAGAAGTTATGCTCTTTCAAGCGAAGACCACAAGTTATTTTAACGAAATTTTCGTTGATCACTACAATAAGAATAAAGATAAATCAATATTGATATTATAAAAAGCTTTTGCGTAAAATTTTCATTGATAATAATTATATACACTAAAATTAGTTGACCCTGGAACAAATCCATAATCGATGATTTTATCTACCCCGATCAATGTTTCATGTTATGTAAGAAATGTTTGAATTTGGTGGTAAATGAGTGTGTGGGAACTGAATTGTATTCAACAAAAGAAAAACTTAGCTCCTTAAGACAACTGATGAAACAAATGAGAGATTGGGATACAGAAAAAAAAATATAAAAATGTAAGTTTTTTTGCGAGCTTTAATATTTTTAAAGCTTATAACTTTGGTAACATTTCCTCAAACAACACAACATTATATTATCGTGACCTGGCTGTGACTCATTCATCAAATATAAAAGGATACTAATAAACCTATTGCATTGACTCGACTTTTACGATTATATCTGCGTCTGAAATGTTGCGATTCTGTAATTTTGCATGGCATTTTGCGCACGTCAATACATGCAAGAGATTGAACAATTGAATCATTAAATTTATTTTCGCTCAGATAAATAAATAAATCATTAATAATAAACCTAGTTGACTTGTGAGTCGGTCCATGCGGAGCTTTAGTTGGGTTTATGAGTGTTTATCAATCTGTTTATTATCTATCAAATTCGGTATTAATGCAAAATAGACAAATCTATTATACCGTAACCAATACCACGTGATTTTTGTCACGATGACCTTTATTTTTTTATACTGTATTTAACAATTAATAAGCCGTATATAGCAAGTTTTTATCAGGAATTTATTTAAGTCCATATCACTAGTTATAAAAAAATATGAATTTTTAAAGCTGAGAGATCAAGGTATTGAATGGATAGGATGAAGTTGATAATTATCCAAAAGTTGTTTAAATCATATTGTTAACGGTGTTCAACAAATTAATTGTGATTCGATAACCGTTAAAACTGTAAAAAGTGTATCCATATGCGCTGATTCTGTTTAAACCCCAAAATTTAGTACGATATGATGTGCCACGCATATTTCATGGCACGGTAAGTGAAAAACCTTTTCTATAATGCTTACACTCACTACATGTGAGTCCTACACACACTATGCGCACTGTGCGCGAAAAAAATCAAAGTTTACTATGAATGACTCATTACTAAACTTTTTTGATTTGCTTAATAATATCGTGTTGATCACCAAGTAATAGCTTCTTCCTCATAACCTTTGAAAGTACATTGATAGGTACGTTTTGCTGGTGAAAACCAATTTAATTCTTTTCCAAACACTGCTACATATTCACTGTCAGTACATGGAAATCTGATAGGTTGTTTTCCTGATTTGTTATAGTGAAGAGAAAGTCGTCTATGTATTTCATTTTTTTAAACTGTTCGACATGTTGCATAAGCAGAGAAACTATACTGGCGGGAGGTTGATTGTAAGATGTACAAGTAGAATTTTCATGACGAACAAGATTTCTAGATGTCTTGTATCGCTTTTGTTACAAATGGTGCACATATATTGACGTTGAATTAAAGAAGATGGTTAGTTGTCTTGCCATTTTAAAAACTTCAATTTGATAAAATTGTGTTGGTTATCTTTTAGTGTTTATTTACTATTGTAACGTTATAATCTTATACTAGCAAAAATCTATTGGTTTTGAGGTGGGGCCATTAGTTTGACGGGCTATTGAATAGCAAGATAGTTTTTTTTTTAGGAGTAAATAAATTTTTTTGGGGGCTAATTATCATTCTACCGACCAATTGCATAATAAGGAGATTTGAAAAAAAGGTCCAAAAAACTGCATGCACGATAATAAATTTGTATTAATTAGAAGTTAATCAATTGAATTCTTGGATTACTGTTTTGTTAGTCGGAAGAAATCAATCATCAATCAATTAGTTGATTGGTAATAAATTTTGATTTACTGAATTGATATATTAATATTAGTGTAATTTTATTTATTTATAAATTCCCCAATTCATTTTGAGACCATTTATTATTATTATTTATTGTACACTTATTTTTTAATTTGGAAACTTGGAAAAAAAAAAAAAAAGAGTAATATAAATGAAGTTATATAAAAAGTAAATTTCAAATTTTCCACCTCTAGATAATATTTAAAAAAAATTTATTATTATTATTAATTTTTAACACTCTTTTTTCCAAAAAAAATTTTTTTTACATGGGTACCAATAGCAGTAAATCTCAAAAAAAATCTTCAACTAATGGAAATAAAAATAATTTTAGACATGAAGATAATATAACTAGTATCGATGACTCGGATAGAAGTAATAAGGATATTGCCAATCAACAACAACAACAACCACAGAAACAACCACAAAAACGACCACAAAGACCACCTTACCAGATACACTCAGCATACTCAACTT